CTTTCACTCCGAGTCCTCCGCCAACGAAAGACATGCTAATTCGACAAAACTTTCATCTTGCTGATGACCCGACTCAACACGAGTAGGGACCCGCGCAAATCACCACTTCGACCCTTGCCCGCCCGAGTTCCCTGGCCCGCTTAGTAAAGCAACATTTCGGCACACTTGCCCGGGCGCAAACACACTAGTTTCACACGGGCGTGCCTTGCCGAACTCTCGGACCTGGAATTCATTCTGCTGTATGAATCATGCGAATAGTACAATAGTATGATTCGTTAAAATGAATCATAAGAATCGTATAATAGTATGATGAATTTGCATCATCATGACACAGGGTGGAAAGATCATAGGGCTGGGGCAACCTCCCTTGGATGCGCCTTGTCGAGGCCTTGGGGAACGGATGCGTGGGGCTCAGCGACTGAACCCCCCCCGCCATTAAAGCATCAGCCTTTTGCGAAGCCACCTTAGTCTCCGTTCCCGCATTTCCACTGCGAGTAATATACCTTAAAGCCAGATAACTACAGGGATAGGCTCTGTCCCAAATTGGTCACTTGACCCTCACTGTCCCGAGGTCCTGTCGTCAGCAGCTTCCTTCCACATGGATGTGGAGGACTTGGCTTCGCGTGTTCTTTCACGACGGGGCCATGAAACGGCTGATATGTTGATCAGCGGACCTAACACTCGCAGCATGACCTTGTGCCTCCCGCAGTCGTTATTTCTGGGCTGCGGATTCACGGGGCCGTTCAAACCCTCAACGCAGGTATGACCTTGACATTCCTTAGCAAGTTGACATGCCAGTGATATTGATAGTTGGTACCCGTGGACCTCCGGGTGAGGTTGTGGCTTCTTCCTTGTGAGAACTGAAGCTGCCTCTGTGCCAAAAAATGCTATTGCCACCGATGCGTCGGCGCAACAAACTTTCTTGAATCTTCGCTACAGGGTGGATTCCACGGCATGTACAGTATGTGCACAGCGGGTGTCACAAAAAAGAGGGCCCCCACCCACCCTAAACGCTAAACCCTAGTTTTTGCGGAACCTAAACGAGACCTCGTAGCCACGACTGTTCCCTGTGGAGTGATCCCAGAGGGGGTCTGCTAGGCGGGTGGCACCAAAAAAACCCTAAACCCTAGACCCTGAACCCCAAACCCCAAACCCTAAACCCTCACACCCTGCTTGCGGTACGGCCAGCTATGCGGGAGCGAAAAAACAAAGCCCACAAAGCGACTCCTGCGTGCCCGAACTTTCCGAGGCCGACAAGCTTGCTGCTCACTGGCCATGCCCGTGGAGGACCCGAGGCCTTCCCCAGACTTGCAGAGATCGAACCCGAGCCCAGTTGATGAGGGGTGGGTTTAGGGTTTTTTTTTTAGGGTTTAGGGTTTAGGGTTTATACCTACAACTCGGCTGAAAAGCAGGGTTTTTGAGGGCGTTTGTTTGAGAATGATGGGGTTTGACAGGGCGTAGAAAGAGGGTTTAGGGTGTACTTGGGGGGTCGAGGGCTTCAACGCTTGGAGCGTCAATCTTCCTGCCAGAGCCCTGCAATGAGAGATTGCAGTGTTTCTGGTTGTTCACGCGCGAGGGCAATCTGTACGATCTTCGGAATGCGAAGGAAGCAGGCAAACTTGGAACCTAATAAGCATTGGTCACTGGCCGGATTGCCTGGAACTTTCAACAGATGCTTAGAGTTAAAGCGTTTGCTTGATCTGAAGGCTGATGGCATGCTGTCATTGACACGCTCCTTTCGGTGCAGCTTCTTCGATCTGACATTGTTGCTCACAGTGTAGAAATAGCCATGATGGAGGACAAAGGTCTTGGTGCACAAGAGCGATGCGTTCACCCCTTGAAGGCATCTGTATCTATAAGCGCATTTTGAACCTCAAGTTGCTCGTTTAGAAGCTCAGCGAACTGCAGAGTCGAGCAATGCAGCAGACCCAGCGTGTCAGCAACCCACAAGCTGCTGCGGCTTTTTCTGTGGCCCTCCATGCGCCCACAGCTATGGCGGCCTCCTTGGGCACGGGCGCACCGGACAGTTACGGTAAGTTGCTTGTGGCTTCAAGGGGTTTCCATAAGGCTGGGGCTACAGGGACCAGGGGCAGTTCGATGATTTCGGGTCAAGTCTGGTGCCTTTGGTCTTTGATACCTGCTGGGAGACCTTTTGGGCTCTCGAAGTCTCAGACCCAGTGCAACTCAGGTGCAGTTTGGACGATTCTAGCACATCCCAGCACCAAGAGGTATCACAAAATGAAAGGCTGGCAGGAGCTTGCAGAAAGCGGAGACCTTGAGGGCTTACATGGAGCAGCTATCAGGAACTTCGCGTTCGGGCTTCATGTAAAGAGGCATAGGACGTTCAAGATGCCGGGCCCCAGATGTTTCACCTCACAAAATCCCGAGCCGCCTACTGAATATGTGGTGCGATGTTGTGTGGCGTGCTGTCTGTTGCGCTGTGTTGTGTTGTGCTATGTAGCACACAGCATACCATGATGCGCCCCGGCACACCCCGATACAGACCGATGCGCCAGTGCCAGGACCTACGCGTGGTCCTCGATGTCCTCGAGGCCCAGCGCGGCTGCGCAGAGCTCCAAAGCGACTTGGCCCTTTCAGGATAATAGGGAGTTTGGATCATGGTTCTGCCCGGAACTAACAGATGATGCCTGGAACTCGGCTGGAAGGTGCCGTGGTCGGATGCCTGGGGCCCCGTAACCCCCGCAAGCTTATAAACATCCCTAAACAACTGCTTGGCTCCGGCTCCTCCCTGTTTTTTTTCCGCACGTTGGCCGCCATGGTTTGAGAACATGGGCTGGTGTGGAAGGCACAGCCTTCTAGCTTCCTCATGGAAGCATGGTTGCAAAGAAAGATGTCAGCGAATCCCAGGGTTCATTACACTGTTCTTTAGCCGAGATCCATGCAGTCCAATGATCTGTTGCAAAGCTTTGTGCAGGCTCTGCAGTAGTACCCTGACTCATGAAGCCTTCTTCGACACGGCGCTTTAGCCTGCCGTTGCACAGGTTGGGGCGCGGCTGCCCTTCGCAACCTCACAGAGGAGACATTGAATAATGGGTCGGTGGGCTGTCCACATCCCACAGATATGTGGGTGACGTTCCCTAGGCTTGAAACTTTCGAGAATCAACTTTTCATGTGTGATGTCAGGTCTCAACATTTTTCCTCGCGTTCGTTAAGCCGGCCTTCGTGGAGTCCTGTGCAATGGTCAGGGTCTTTTGTAGGAGTCGGTAGTGCTGTTGTGGAGTGGTGGTTCTTAGACTGCGAAAACTGCTTCACTGGTCGCTTCCTATTTCGGCTCATGGCAGAGATGTTAGTGCGTGGGTGCCATCGGTGCGGGGCTGATGGGTAGGGCGGAGGACTTTGTTGTGTCGCTGACGCTGCCAGTGGCCAGCACAGATGCTTTGCTGTCCCTTGCCCGTGATACTTTCTCGAGGCTCTTGTTTAGCAATTCCTGCAGTTTAGCCCTTGATTTTGCTCGGGATGACGTGCATCCCGATGTTCCTACTGCACATGCTTGTCAGGCGGGCATCAACATGCTTTGAGTTTGAGCAGCATTCCTGCTCGGTGACGAGCCTGCCAAAGCCACCAGTGCTAGCCAAGGTTGCCGGTGGTCTGTGGATCTTTGCTGCTTGGCAGCAAGCATCAGGTAACCGGCTGATACAACAGAGTTCTCGGCAAATCGGGCTGCAGATCTGATTGGCAAAACGTGATCAGCGGTTGCCCTTGACGGAGTTCGACCCCCAGAATCGTAAAATTTGCATGCGAACCAGGGCACATGCTGTTCAGACAGGGCTGCACTGTCAGAGGAGCCTGCATACCCAGACTGGCGGACGACCCAGTCCAATCTCCTAAGCCCTTGGCTCACGCGAGAGAAAAAGAAAGAGAGAGCGAGCGAACGAGAGAGGTTGATATTCTTCCATGTGGCGTTGACGTGGCGGGCCGCTCTCTGCTTGATCCAAAGGATTCAAGGACCCGCTGGACTTTACGAGGTAGCCAAGTGCCTATCACCGACATCCCATGCTTTTTCATGCAGATGTGCAAATCTCACGGTCAGTCGTTCTTGTTGCGACTGCTATCAGTCTGCGCAAGCGGCTTCGAGAGTGAGACTCTTGCTTGGAAGGAGATGGCAAGGGCAAGCAGATTGCCGACGCACTCGATGCCAATGAGTTGCCAGAGGTAGCAGGGGTTGTCGCGTTCAGCAACCTCCTCTGCCTCCCCCTGCTGTGGAGCTGCTGTATATTGGTGTCGCCCATCCCGTTTACTGTTCCTGTGCAGCAGAAATCGATGCTGAGGGGGTGGACGTTCATCATGGGGTGGCGACGTCAGTTATCCTAGGTTGCCATGACGTGTCATGCTCGTCGTTTGTTGCAGGGCTTCTTCTTCTATCTAATTGAGGAGTGACGCAGGTCATGCGATCATTGTTGCATCCACTCGGGGCCTAACATCGCGACAGGACGTGGACATCAAGCTGGTGACTTCTTGGCGTGGCGCAGCGTCGTATTTGGTGCATCTGCATCTTATGCCGATGATAGCTGCCTTGCTCGAAATTATCTAAAGTTAAAGCATTTTTGCAAGCTCGGTTTAGTATTTTGTGTCTTTGAGATCTCCTTCAGCATGCGGATTGAGCAGAAGGACGTGTAGGTAGCCGGTGCGACAAAAACCCTGGCAGTGGCAAATCGGTGCTGGCTGAGAACTGCTGTGGAATCAAGCTCGTGCCAGCCTCTTGGCATCATGAATCATGGCTTATTTGCTGTGAATCCCAGGCAAGTGCCACGCGGTGGCTTCTGCGACCAGACATATGCACGCTGCTCTGGCTGGTGGCATGCTGCTTTTTGAGCCTTGCCTTCTTGATGAATTTCCGTGCATGTGCACTGGCCAGCAAGGGTAGCTAGTGTCGCGGTAGTCGCGCGAGCAGGTATGCCGCCTATCTCCTCACAATCACAGATGCAGTCCATGTGACAAAGCGGCGTGTGCAAGTGGTGTGCATGCTGGCTCACGGTTGCATGGCCGCCTTGATGTTATCCAACATATGGGATACCACACAAGATTTTCATCCTCGGACTGTGATGCTACTGGTCGGTGAGCTTTTTATTTCCTGGATTTGTCCGGACGCTTACGTGGTTGGCTCATCTGCAGTCGGCTTCGTTGCCGCGCATGGCCTGGCCACGGCGTATGTTCAGGGCTGCGAGGCTTTCAGCTTGTTGTTCAACGTCCAGCTCTTGTTGGAGCTCTTCTTGGACATCGCCGTGCCCGTCATCGTACGACGCGTGCACGAAGAACAAGTTGCAGCATACCATCAGTCTAAGGATGCTGAGTCACTTGTGTTGCTCGGAGGCGATTTGGCAAAGGGGGGAGGGGGGGAGGGGGGGGGCTGGGGGGCAGCACGGGAGCAGCTAGTCGACCGAACCAATTATTACTTCTTTTGTTTTACTCTGTGGTTTTACTCTCATCTTGTTATTGTATGATTGTAATGAATTGTACTATCATGTTATCCTTATCATCTTATAATGGTTTTTTATTGGCATATTAGCATCTTATTATTGTGTTATGATGTTATTACATTATTTCTCAGTTTGTTTCTAGGACTAGTATGTGGATATTTCATTCATACTTTGTGCTATCAAAGTTTTAGCCTTTAAATACTTATATGACCATACAAGTACATCCATATATGAATGTGTTACGATTTTCAAGTTGCTATTGATTCATCATTTATACTGTCAGATGATGCTTTAAATGATAATGCTTGCTATTTCTGTTCGGCCTAAAGGCTTAAGAGGTTCCTCAGAGTGCAGCTGAAAAAAAGCAGCGTTGAGGCTTGCTTTCCGCCAGATGCTAAAGGGTGTCTGTGATGGAGACATGCTCTTGGACAGCAACTTCAAGATCTGCGCAAGCAGCAGCGGCTTGCAACATCTCTTGGGGTCGCATGAGACACTTAGCTGTACAATGTGCCGTAATCTGCCGCCATGGTTATAGTATAGGCATGCTGACACAAGGGAGCTGGGCTCAGTCAGAGGCAGTCCACCAAGCCTGAACGCAAAAGGCAGCTGGGGCCTGGGTTTTGAAACGGTTCCCAGTCTCTCGTTCCCTTTGGCACCTAAGGACTCTCGCGGGGCGTAAGATCACGGAGCTGCTTGCGCCGGACGATGCCATGAAACAAAAGTTCGAGAAGTTTCTGAACGGCACAGCCATGAGCACGCCAACCAGCCCCCCGCGCTGTTTGCGCGTGGCATTGAAAGCCATGGCCGGCCACGAGATACCCGTCGATGTGTTGCATGTGAGGCTCCGGCTTCACGGTGATACCGTGCAGCATTTGCTGGCAATTACCGGGGACGCAGAGTCCCAGCCGCAGCCCGAAGCCGAGGAGGATGCCATTCCGACAAGTTTGCTGTCGAAAGCCCCTTCACCGCGTCATCTGTCGCAAACCAGCAGCCAGAGTGGATCTGTGGAGTTCTACGACGAGCCTTGTTTGCCCTGAGCTCACGCTTTCGCCAGCAGCTTGCTCGTCTTTGCATTCGCAGCCACCCACGCGCACAAGTTGAAAGCTAACATCATTGAAAGTGGTCATGTGTCTTCAAGTTCTCGAAGCATGAGAAGGTGAAACAACAACAGTGAAGATTGAAGATTGGTTCAGCAACCGTGATTTTGGAAATGGTAAGTGCTCAGCACAACTAGCATCGAAAACAACGCGCATTCCCGTCTTTCTTGCTTCAGCAAGCACAAGCACAGTCCTTTGCAAAGATTGGGGCTTGACTGCTTTTTTACACGCGAGATCTTGGGGATTGAAAGGGTTCCTCGATAGGACAAAGACAAGTCTCCGCCTGGCATCTCTGGCAAGCTTGAGAGCACATGTTTACTCTTCATGTCATCAGGGAACTCTTTGGCCCAGGAACTCTCCGACCTGACCATACTGCTGAATGCAAGCACTGAGCTTCTGGACATTGAAGAGGCCCTTTAAAGAGTCTGAGTTAGTCTTAGTTTAAGATCTGGGCCCTCTAGAGAGTCTGAGTTAGTCTAAGTTGAAGATCTGGATTTTCAATATTTTCTTCAGGCCGTCGCGTCAATGTACGGCAAGCCATGAAGAGATCTGCCAAGTGCCTAGACACACCCTGGAGGCGCATCTCCGCTTCGTCCGCCACTCGGAGGTCCCAACTATGCCAACTTAGGTGGATCAGGACGTGGGGCTTTTGCTGCCCTAGATACACCCTAAATCCGAAACCCTATGTTATTCAATACAATTTTCTTGTTCACCATGGACAATCGCATATCACAAAAAGATGGGGCATCTTGGGGGGGTGGGGTCCATCAAAGCTCGCTGACCCGAAGAAGACACCCCGAAGGGGGTTTAGGGTTTAGGGTTCAGGGTTCAGGGTTTAGGGTTTAGGGTTTAGGGCTACATGCAGGTGGGCCTTTGACTGAGAATTCGAAGCTGTTGCCGGAGCAATGGTCACGCATGTGATGAATAGAAGAAAGTGTGGCCCTGCACCCTAGTAGCCCTAGAAACTTTGGAAGAATCCACAATGCATAGTTGTAAATCATGTGAAGCTGCGCGGCGGGTGACAAGAATAGAATTCAGATCGGTGGCACTGAATCTTGCCAGCAGGCCCCTGAAATGAAGATGGGTATGCCAAGCTTGAAGCGGAGCCCTGACTGACATGGGGCAATATTTCCAACGGTTGCTTCCTTGAACTCCGTGGCCCTTTAGCTAGGCTACACATTTTACGCAGGGTTTGGTATGAAAGGCTTCTCAACCAGGAACTCGGGTTCTACTAAGACGTCCCTTCTGCAGGTCAGGGAAGTGGTCACTCATTGCATTGTTTTTCGAGTCCATATCGTTGTACAGTTGTCAGACATTGCGTTTGTCGCACACTAAATGTTTGCAACCTCGCCCGTTTCGGTCAGAGTTTGGACAACTGAGGTTCCTGCGGCCGCTTGATTGGCAGGCCCTGCTTGACTTCAAGGATTTGCAAGCATGTCGGCATGTCGCGGAAGGGTCCGGCTCACCCCAGCACATGCCCTGCTCCTGGCTCACCATGCTTTCTGCGACAGACTCTGGAACCACAGCTCCGGCAGTTCGCGCACAGCGTCAAGCGCCTTGGTTCTGGTTTGGACAAAGGTGCTGGCGATCAATCCATCTATCTGAAAACATGCTCCACCCTGCTTACTTAAATGCTGTGACTTCCACGTCCCAGTCAGAAAGAAAGGATTCCTACAACCCTTCAATACTGCACCCCCGCTCCCCCAGACCTGCTCCTCTGGTCACGCTTCCCCGTCGTCCCCGACCCTATTTTTAATTTTCGTACTCAGAGGTCTCGTCTGATGCAGTCTGATGCCGGCAGACTTGTCTGCATAACTGTAAACTGGGCGGAACTAACTGATATGGCTAGTTTGCTTCTTTCAGCTTCTCCCCTAAACCCTAAACCTAAACCCCTAAACCCTAAATCCTGTCTTCCTGTCACTACGGCCCTTGTCATTCAGGCACTGCCGCGAGCCTTCGCCCCAAGCATTGCCACCTGTGATTGTGAACTTGCCGGGCGAGCCGAAGACGTTCCTTGACAGCTTAGGGTTTAGGGTTTAGGGTTGAGGAATGAAGAGGTTGCGCCGATGGGTTTGCAGGGACGGTGGCTCGAGTTCGAGCCTAGCTGGGTCAGTTCACATGCTTGCGGCATTGGTCCGTGCTCTTCTGCCCTGGCAGTGCTGGCCAGCTATAATGCACCAGCATACAGGAGTCTGCAACAGTGTGGCCGCCAGACCCGGCAAGAGCAACTTTGTATCACTTGCGTGTATATGCGAACAACGAACTCGCACTCGCGGTCATGTGCTTGTGAATATTTGTTGCGGCCACGTTGCTGGAAAACCAAACTTGATGACCGCAGATAGTGATAGACACGGTTAGGTTAAAAATGGATGCCCGGATTTCTTCAAGATTCTTCCAGAGTCCTACTTTTTGAGATGAATAGAGATCGTGTTCCATGCCCCGCCAGATCATGCGAAACCTCAGCACCCTCCGCACGCCCCAAGAATTCCGCCGATACTTCGCAGAGTTCCTCGTTGTGATGTCTGCGCCAAGGGACTAAAGGAGGGACCCTTATAAGGGACCTTAGGGAACATTTGGGGGTTATTTGGGGGCTACTTATAGGGACTATATGAGGTATGTATAGGGGTTTTAAAGGGGATAAGATTAAGGGTCCCTTCTGGCGGTCCCTCCTTTTACCCCTCAACTGCACCAAGGCGCTTGCAGGCACGAAGTGTGTGTGTGAAGTCGCTCTACAGCGGACCGCGTCCCCAGGGGAAGCCAGCCTACTTGCACCTTTGCGCCAGTGTGGAGGGTTTCGGGCCTTTCGGGTTTAGTGGCTGTGGGGTTGCGATATATTCCGGTCTCCACCTTTCCGACGTTCAGTGCGAGTTGTGTGGAGCATCCAACGCACATGTGATGGCACTCTGACGTGGGGGTTTCCTCCAAGGTACTTGCATCTACGAAAGTTCAACGGTGGTCACAAAAAGGGCAAGACCAATCTCGAAGGCTTCTCTGCCCTAGTCAGTGTGTCACTGTCCAGTGCTGCTGTTCAGATTTTTTGAACTTGCTTGTGCCACTTTTGCCCCTGCTGAGGGTGCCCCTCTCCAGGTGTTGAAGAAGACACGCAAATGGACATGACCGCGTACTCGTCATCGTCACCTCGACAGCATCACGAGATCTTTTGCTGGCCCACCGGTAGTATGGTAGCCCCCGCCGCCATGCTGAAGATTGTTTTGGGGCGATCATGCCTGACCATCAAGGAAGCAGGCCAATCGAAGAAGGAACCAAACATGAGCTTGCACTAAAGCCTATAAGCAGTTGCTTTTTCAAGGGTGTGTGTATTTGCCACACTGGCTAAATGTGCCGGGTACGCCATTCACCGAGGAAAGAAGATGCGAACGCGATCTGTTCAGACCCTAGCGCTGGCGTGAAACCTTAACACCCCAGAAGGGCCAGACGGGCCAGACCTGTGGTGAAGGTGGCATGAATGTTTAAGACCACCCCCTGGCTTTAGTACGCATTGGGAAAATATTGGAAAAAAACTTCTTTTCGACAGTGGGCTGAAGATACCCTGCCATGAGCAGGTGATGTGCCGGCCCGCGGAACTGGAAACGAAGACATAGTAGTCGAACGCTGGGTCTGGAAGCTTCCAACAAGCCGCTGGCCAGGAATGACCAGATCAGATAGAGTGAAGTCTTCAAGAGGGAACGGCCATTCCGGCTGGATGAGTTTGTGCAATTTTTGTTTCATCCGGAATCCATCATCGCAAAACTCAGAAGTCGAAGCTTCGAGACCCAGTTCATGCCACGTACCTGGCTGCAGATCATGGAAGGCTCCAGCGTTTATGCTCGGCCCACTTGATATGCCTGGCACAAGCCTATTTCCGTAACAAATGGGCCGTGTCCATGGGGTGAAGAAGGCAGGCTGCTTAAGATGCGGTGCTCTAGATGGTTCTGGGGCTTCGGCTTTTCAGATAAGGCAGCGCCCATTTGTGAGTTGAGACCCTGTGGCAAAAGTTTGCCCTCAAAGCTAAGCTGTGCGCGCTTCGGGAAGACTGCTTCGCCCTCGGTGGAGGCTTAAGGAACGTTCACACTATGAAATCAGAATAGAGTGCAAGTTCCAGGCCGGTTGGGCAAGTCTCCCGCCTGTGGTGCCTCGTTGCCCAGCAGTGGATGACAACGAGCACCATGCCACCATGCGCTACAGTAGCACTATGACCCAGGATATGGACCTGTGTAGCTTGGCTCGCTTGCTCACCTGGGCTGTGCCGTGCAACTCCATGTGGCGGCCGGCACAGCTTACTTCGAGAGGTAAGTTTCTTGCCTTGGGCTGTCGGATCGTCCCAACCCCTGTAAAGGATGGGGCAGGCCACCAATGTACTGAGCTCGGCAATGCTCCTCAGCTTGGCGTCTATTTCCAAGACAAGTTTTGCATCATCCTCTGCCGCAGAAGTCTATACGGTGCGCCCCCGTTAGGGCTTTGGGCCCCATCCGCACCTCCTCTCAATCTAGAGCCCCCCGCTATTCTGAGCGGTCAGTGGTGGAGGACGCCGCACATGAGACTTGTGCGTCGACGATATCGGTCGGCCCATATCAGTCCTGCTTTACGAAGTCGTATGCACGGTGCCCTCCATATATCCATTTGTTGGTTCCTGTGTGGCGCCTGCTGCTCGATGCGTCTAATACGACAAGGGGAATGTGCGAAGACCTTGCGCAGGGAAGATGGCCAATCTCGGCCCACCTTGCACACAACGGAGTAGGTCAACGCTGGTTCCCCTGAGGCGGTGTTTCAAGAAAAGTAGCTTCAGCCCTTTTGCAGACCTGGGCCAATGAGTCACAGATTTCCTGTGGCTTCATGTGTGTGAGGACGTGTCGGGTAAAGATGCAGCCACGATCAGTCTCACGCGACCGATTAGGTGCGTACAGCATCTCGGGGGCAGCAGCGTGGAGTGACTTGCCTGAGCGGACCTTGACGCAATCGGAAGCAAAAACACTTATGTCTCGACACGTCTCCAGAGTCTCATATACCTGTAGGGCGTTGTCAGTCGGAAAAGGACCAGTTTGCCCTTTACAGGATCGGAAACGGGCACGCCCCTTACTTTGAGAAGTTTTAGACTATTTCAGAGACATCACCCTCGAAGTCTGCAGATGTTAGGAGTCCGGTGCCGAACTCCGACGGGAAGCCTTGGATCTCGGGGCGTGGGAGTGCAGCCCCAAGAGAGAGCAGATAGGTCTTGGAGGTATTGGCGCTTATTCTGAGGAACCTGCGCATGGTTGCATAGAAGGCTTATTCCTTGAGAGGCACGTGGCTCCCCTCTGGAGGTAAGAAAGGAGTAGGCGTGATGGTACAGGGCTACTGCCAAGAGATGTGGCCATTAAAGGCCGGAGTGGGGGGCGGGGGGGGGGGGGTCACGTCACTTTCGGGGCAGTCTACGCAGAGGCAGTCTACGTAGGGCCAATATGGAGATTGAACTCTGCTTGTCTGGTTGAGCACCGAAGCCATGTGACACCCGAGCAATACACACACGCAACCGCGAACAAACCAATTCGATCCAATTTGCCCTCATCCACTTCCAAGGCTCGTCCTGGCTGCAATGCAGCAGCACGCAGAGTCCCCGTCTGTGCAGGCATCGGCCGCTCTGTTTTCCTTGCATTCTTGAATGCATGTGACATGAGCCTTAAAAAGTCATGATGCGTACAGGAACAAGTCTTTCTTCAACGATCAGGGAGGTGTGGCAGATATTTTGGGGTAGTCAGGTTGACACGTCTCGTACTGCCGTGGGCACATGTGAGAGGCGGAGCAGCTCGGATGAAGACGCGCTAATGCTAAACCATGGAACAAGTTGGGAACCATTCCGGCCCCTCACCTGAGAAAGCACGCGCCTGAAGGAGTGTGGCCTCGCGGCAATAAGCGGCTTCGCCAAGGACCACACACCCGAAATCCCGAGATGTGAAGACTCTGATCATTGACTCTGATCGCTGGATGCTCAAAGAGTTGACAGTACCACTTTGCTGGATAGCTGCAGTGTTCGGCTTTCCGAGGGCAACCTCAGACAGCAGACATGGCAGTTCCTTGATCAATTTCTAGGCTCCGGAAGGTACAGACTCGAAACCGTAGATGCCAAAGGCATATACATCACAGGGATAGCCTTCCATCGAAGTCCGCAGAGGGCGTGGCCAAGTGGCAGACTCCCAGAATACACATCCAGCTCGTGTCGCCTAGACGATCTCGAGGACGCTGGCGCGCGACAGAAGACTTCAGAAACCTCCGCTGTGGCCCTGGTCGCGAAGGCTTTGAAGGCTGCGGACGCTTCAATAGAGCGTTCCATGAGGAAGCATGCTGGCTGACGTTGCGACTTCTGCAGAGGCTGTTGAAAGGGATTCGTGGGTTTGCGTTGGGTGAATTCGGCGCGATGCAACTGCACGGCCAGCGTGATTAGTTTGGAATCTGGCCTGGAGCTGATCCCGAAAAGGCAACCCGTTAGCGGGACATTCAGCCCCTTAAAAGCCCTGCGACTCTTAAATCGAGCAGCAGCGAGAAGCGTACCAAGTCGAAATCCTACGCTTGTGAATTCCTAGGCACTGTAGCCCCCTTGAGGTGTTCCATTATTCCCTTCCGGGGTTTAAGAGGGATCATATTCAGGAATATTTTTCAGAGGAGTGAGGGCCATCCTAAATTCAGTGAAGTTTATGTCTCTTAGCACCCCTGGGAGGACTTCCCTGCTGAGGAGGAGGTTCAACGGTGGGGCCTGGCGGCCCTGGGAGAGCCTTTGCTTGGAAGGATTGGCGACGTGGGGGGGGGGGGGCGATATCAGAGGCACCTTGTTGGGGTTTTGACTTCAAAGGGGATCCTACTTCTTTTTCTGTTTTTTTTTTGGGGGGGGGTCTATAGTGTGTGTATACATATATATATATATATATATATATGTATATCATTGTTTTGGAGGCCCTTATTATCGTGCGCCCGCCATGTGTGCTGTGGAATGCATTTCCCACTGGGAAATCTAAGGAGCTCCTGCGACACGGCGAGGCATTGGCCGGCCAAGTTGTCGAGAGCCTTGGATGACACCCTTCTCGGCGGTAGATCTGCCAAGCTCTACCTGGGACTCTTTATCTACAGTATGATGGGTTCTACCTACTTTAAGGAGCAGTTACTACTTAAGGGGTACTGTAGGTATTACTAAAGTGTAGGGAAAAAGAGTCCCAGGTAAGCCTCAGCACCGACACCTCAGCCTTACATACGGCATTTGGATACCGCCCACAGCACTACTCACCGCATAGCAGATTATGAGCATTATGTAGAATATGCGTGACATATGTTATACATGACATTTTATGTACATAGGTATTTACAATATGTTGTGTCCCGACATTGCGCACTGTATATCTTGGCTTTGAAGGCTCTTATGGCGGTCGACCTCAAGGCCCTAAACCCTAAACCCTGAACCCTCAACCCTAAACCCTAAACCCTAACCCCTAAAGCCCTAAACCCTAAAAGCCCTAAACCAGGACTGGCACCTTGGACCTGAGCCTGGTGGCCCTGCAGCTTCATCCTGGATCTGCTCAGGTTGGAGGGGGCCCCGGGGTGGAGGATTCAAGGGTCAAAGGGTTTAAGGGTGGGTTTAGGGTTGAGGGTTTCGGGTTTGGGGTTTAGGGTTGAGGGTTTAGGGTTTGGGGTTTGGGGTTTGGGGTTAAGGGTGCGGGGGGGGGGGGGGGGGGGGGGAGGGTGTACTTGCAGTGCCCGGCGGTACCATAGGCCTGGATGCAAAAGAAAGGGCTAAAGGAGCTCTGCCAAGCCGGGTACTAGGCAAAGCATCAATCAAGCTGCTTCCCTTCAGGAAGTTTCATCACAACCACATCAATCGGTGACAAGATCGTACATGCTATACACAGCTTGCACTACACATGCTGACGAACTCGGAAGTTGCTCACAAATTTCAAGGTAACTCTGCCTGCCTAGGACCTTTCTGGCGAAACCCTTAAACCCTTAAACGACAGGTGTCTGTGAGGAATAGAAAACTTCGTTGAACGTGGATCCGCAGCGCTTCTTTCGGTCTGACTGCTGTGCGTTTTTTTCATGCAATGTCCTTTTCAAAGCCTTCAGCATCAGGTACATCTCGGTGCTGAAGAGCCCCACATAAACCCACAACCGCTTCGCATAGCCAGGCAGCCCCCTCGTGGCTGCCGTAGATCCATAAGAGGCCTTGTGTGAGAAGAAGCCGGCAACTCAACAAAGACGCGAGAGCTGATCAGATTGAAGTGTCTGTAGACCCTTCTTCATGCCAGGCTTTCGAACGCTGCTCAAAAGCCCCGAGACACAAGTAATAAACGACAACTTGTCAAGCTACGCATTTAGCCAGTCAAGAAGACCCACGAAGATAGAATGTTACGTGGCGCCCTCTTCCCCAGCCAAAGCCGAAGCGGCCCTAACCAAGGCACG